AGTGTAAGTTAGTTCAACCTTTGTGGAAAGCATTATGAAGGTTCCTCAAAAAGCTCAAAATAGACATACCATTTGACCCAGGAATTCCACTTCTAGGAATTTACCCTAAGAATGCAGCAGCCCAGTTAGAAAAAGACAGATGCACCCCTATGTTTATCACAGCACTATTTACAATAGCCAAGAAATGGAAGCAACCTAAATGTCCATCGGTAGATGAATGGATAAAGAAGATGTGGTAAATATACACAATGGAATATTATTCAGCCAAAAGAAGAAAACAAATCCTACCATTTGTAACAACATGGATGGAGCTAGAGGCTATTATGTTCAGTGAAATAAGCCAGGTGGAGAAAGACAAGTACCAAATGATTTCACTCATATGTGGAGTATAAAAACAAAGAAAAACTGAGGGAACAAAACAGGAGCAGAATCACAGAACCCAAGAATGGACTAACAGTTACCAAAGGGAAAGGGACTAGGGAGGATGGATGGGAAGGGAGGGATAAGGGCGGGGACAAAGAAAGGGGGCATTACGATTAGCATGTATAATTTGGGGGTGGCATTGGGAGGGCTTTGCAACACAGAGAAGACAAGTAGTGATTCTACAGCCACTTACTATGCTGATGGACACTAACTGTAATGGGGTGTCTGGGTGGGATTTGGTGAAGGGGGGAGCCTAGTAAACATAATGTTCTTTATGTAACTGTAGATTAATGATAACAAAATTAATTAATTAATTAATTAATTAAAGAAAAATCTTGTTTGCTGATATTCTTCTGTTTTAATTAAATGGACCAAAAGGAAAACAACAATGATGAAATTACCTCATAGTTTCTGTTGGCATCTGTTATGGTCCAGTACCTGTTGGGTATTCCCATATGTCCAAAGTCAGATATTGGATCAATCAGTTTCTATCCATTTTCACTCACCTCTTTTGAGGATTTGGGATTACAAGTAAAAGCATACAGATCTTCAGGTAATGCTGGGAAAGAGAGATAGGCATGAAAATAAAGTGACAATGATTGAAACTTAAAGAATAATGCTAAATAGTGCTAAAAAAAAAGCTAGATTTGCTTTTCCATGAGGGAATGTTTGCCAAGCAGCCCCAGAAAAGGACCATGATTTGTGTACAAGATTGCCTAAAGGAAACAAAATAAGGAATAATAACTGGAATGCTGTTTCACAGTCTTATTTTTTAAATGTTTAAATTTTTTGTAATATCAGTACAAGGAAGGAACGCTCTTCCTGGCATCCTGTGAATTGCTGGATAATGGACTTAACTGAAACTTTAGGGTTTCACATAATGGGGAAGTAATCCTTACCAAAAGTTTTTAACTGAGCTTCAATGTCCTAATTGCACTGTTTTTGGTAACATTTTACAAAACATTCACAGGGTTCTTGCATTCTACCTGTCAGGCCACTACCTGCTCCTGGCCAATAAGTGGCCATTTCTTCTCTTCTTCCTGTCAACCCCACTTTCTCCCTTCACTGGATACAACATGCAATAAATAACTCATTTGACCAATTTATGTGGCAAGAACTTTTCAGAAATAGATGGAGTCTGCCTAAGCCTTATGAAGTCACAGGTCAGATGACAGTTAACCTCTGTCAAAAAAATATCAAAAATTCTGAGGAATTATTCTGGGGAAAGGATGAAAGAAAATGGAAGGGGAAATGTAAGAGAATGTAAATTCCACAGACTAAAATCAGAGGAAGCTGATGGGTTACCTACCTAGAAATGGGGCTAGGAGATGAGAGGGTGAGGCTAGAGGAAGCAGGGATAGCTGCATTATTAAGGACTAGTCTTCTAGTTGGAACTGAAGGTAGGGGTGGGAACAGGTGTCCAAACATAAACCTTGCAGGATAACAGGATACATTTTGTTCTAAAGCAGTTTTATTTCCTTAACTGATGAAAGATTTACAAGTTGATAGTTAAAGTAAGAGAGAAAAAGAGAAGGAAATAACATCTATTAAACATCTACTATATACCAAGCAGAGTAAAATGCACAAATGTATTTAAGCATTTCTTAAAACAACCCCATGTACAACTTATACAAAAACTACTTTTACAGAGAGGAAGCTGAGTTCAGAGGTAATATAACTCCAAATACCATGCAGCTATTAAGTGGCAAAGCCCAGATCCAAACTCTGCTCTGTTTAACTCCCTGGCCCATGATATTTCCATTATGCTATTCTGAGAAAAATTTTAATGATTTTAAATAAAAAAACTACCATAACTACCTGGCTGAGAAAGCTTGAGTAGTGAAATATAAACCTCGTGGCACACAACATCAGAGTCTAAACAAAGTGGGCCACCAGAAGTTCTTGCAGTGGAGGATCAGGGGACAGCCCAAGCTAGTGATGGGCAACTTCTCCACAGTTGCAATGTGATGCAGTGCAATCTACAAAACATAAAAGAACCAAAATAAATTCATACACATGCACTAGGTCCATCACTATCAGTGTACCTGACTCTCAGTCACATCTAGAGTTTACAAATATCCTTTATAATGGGACAACTGGGTTTATCTCAAACAGAAGTAAATAGTGGTAAAGCAATAAGAAGCAAATTGCAGTGTTATAAAACTTTTCTCTCCTTAGGGATATAAGGTTAACAGGTTTATGGGACACTTGTGATGAACTGGCTCAGAATAGATAGCTTCTAGCATGCTGTGGCAGAGTTTACAATTATAGCAGAGGAAAACCGGACTTTCTTTTGTTCTACAAAATTAATAATTAAAATGATTAATAATTAGTATCAAGATTTATTGCTCACAAGGTGGTCCATGACCATTAACTATTAAATCCCTATAATAACCCTTTGAGGTATAATCATCCCATTTAAACAATGAAGAAACTAAAGCTCTGAGAACTGAATTCCTCATCAGAGGTCACACAGCCAAGAAGTGACACAGACAGGATTTGAACCATGGTAGTTGAAGTCCAAGTCTAGGGTTATTTATCTAAGAATTCTAAAAACTGCAGTCCTGGAATTAGGATTTAACTGGAAATATAAAGGGGAAAATTTCTCTCCCACACTTTGGACTCTAGTGACAACAACGTGAAGAATGAATTGGGAGGAAATTTTACCTGAGTAACTTAGGAAATGAGTAGAAACTGTGTAAGACTAAGGACTAAAGTAACTACATAAGTTTTGTACTATAGCTAATAAAGTTGTTTCTCATGGGAATACAAGTTAACAATTCTGACTTTAAAAATTGAATGATTAAATCTTTGGCCTTACTACTCCTGCCCATGATGATGCCAGCAAAAAAGAAATGCATGGAAAGAGAACAGGTAAGAAAAACTGTATCCAAATAATATAATTCTCTCTTTATAGATTCAAAAAGTCAAGGAATCATAGTTTTACATTTTAGCCTTTAGTATTCTCCTCCTGTGTCTCTGATGTTTCTTGCAACTACAGCCTGAATGTACTCTTTTCATTCTCTGGACTCCCTGTCCTGTGCCTGGAATGGCTTTCTGATCACTGTTATTTCTTCTCTTCTATCCAACACACTCCAAGACCCTGCTTCAGTTTGTTGGAAAAGACATCTCCACTATCTAAGAATGGAGCATGTATGGGGACCTTTACATACTCTTAGTAGAGAGCTTCCATCTTAATTTGTCTTGTTTTGTCAAACTCAATTCCTGCCATGGAAGTTCTGGAAGGGCCACAAAAACTTATAATAGGAATTAATATATCATCTATTTAAAGAAAATCAAAGCCCTGTTGATCAATATGGGAGATCTGTGTTTGGGTAATACAACACTGATCATGCAGATCAGGTGCCAGGCAAAAAACTGGAAAACTGGGAAGAGGGAGAACGTAAAGGAGACTAGGGCTGGGAAGACCTTCATAAATAGCACTAAATGGGTAAATAAGCCGTCTTTGACATATAGAAATAATGTACTGGGAACCCTCTTCCAGATCCAGTTCACTGAGTTTGAAATAATTTCCAGTAGGAAAAAATCTGGGGACATGTATGCTGCCTATAAATGCAGGTAGGAAGGAGAAAGGCTTATGGCACTGCACTAAAGAACTGATTGTTAAACTGTTAGAAATGAAAGAGTCCTTATTAATTATAGAATCTAATGACCTCATTATAAAGATGAGGAAATTGAAGCCCAGAGAGCAAGTCACTTGCCCAAGGTCATATAACCAATTAGTGCACAGCTGAGTGTAGCTAGAACCAGCTCTCCTGACTTCTCTTTTGACATTCCTTTCATCACAACAAAGGGAGCAAGGTACAATCTCATATGGGGAAAGCTCATGGTATTTTAAAATGTATTAAAATACTTCTTTCATATGCATGTTCAATTTATTTTATACTTATATACAGTAGTTCCCCCTTATCCATAATTTTGCTTTCTGTGATTTGAGGAATCCATGGTCATCCACAGTCTGGAAGCAGAAGATCCTCTTTCTGATATATCATCAGAAGGTCAAATAGTAGCCTAACACTACATCACAATGCGTATGTCATACACCTCACTTCAACTCATCATGTAGGCATTTTATCATCTCACATAATCACAAGAAGAATGGTGAGGACATTACAATAAAGTATTTTGAGAGATACCACATTCATGTAACTTTCATTACTAAATATTGTTATAATTGATCCACTTACTATTAGTTATCGTTAATCTCTTATGTTACCTAATTTATAAATTAAACTTTATCATAGCTATGTATGGATAGGAAAAAACATAGTAAATCTAAAAATAGGTACTATCCATGATTTCAGGCCGCCACTAGGGGTCTCACAGCATATCCCCCACAGATAAGGAGGGTGTCTAGCCAATAGGTTTCAGCCCCCAACAAGTACACTATGGATTCTGTGAGACCGAGGAAGGACAATGGAAAGTTCTTGGGGTAGATAGGTTTATTACCAGGCTTGTTCTCACAGTGATAGATCGAGCACTAGAACTACATCTGCATCCAATAGTCAGCAGCTCAGTAATCCTTCTTTGTCTCTGCCTCTGCCCAGAGCACTGCGCAGAGCTCTTTATATAGTGACTCACTCAATAATAGCTCAGTGCCTATGGGTGTGGAAGCAGTAGCCTAGCAGCAGACCAGTTACATCATCAAGTAGTTTAGGGTCAGGTGAGGATCCTGGCCATAGGAACTTCCATTTTACCCACACTCCACCCCTCCAGAATCCTCACTTCACAATCTACACACTATCAATCTTCTGCAGTGGTTCCTGTGCGAGAAAGCTGGAGCATAGTAACCAGATGCCACAACAGCAACAGAGTATAACAACAACATAAAGATAATAACAAAAATTAAATTACAACAAAATTTTGATACAAGTAACAAAAATTATAATAATCCTCAAGCCTAAGGAGGTTATTCCAGCTATATTCAAAACCAGTTCCACACAGATGAGGTCATGACTCAAACTTAGCAGTGGTAGATATAGGGAGCTTCATGCACCCCAGCAATTAGCAGTCTTTTGGCTAGGGCGTATACCCAATCTACAAAGACCTTAAGGGTGTAAGACACATGTTTTAATGACACCAACATAGGCAAATCTTGTCTATCAGTTCGGATGCATGCAAGAGAGCAGTCCTGTGATAGGGCTTTAGCAGGAAGGGGGTCGCATCCATGTCTAGTGTACCATACTTTTACTCCTCTCCCCATAGGGATTACTGAGGTGTCTATAGATAATGCTACTGGAGGTGCATGCACTGGCCATAATGATAAAACAAAACTCCCTGGTAAGATACTCCTACCTTCTGGCCATTCAGGATATACTACTATGATCTTTAGGGGCCACTCTGGTGTTATTTCAGGAATACACAGGAGGCCAGCTTCCAGGCCTTGTCCCCAGGGTGCCAGGAGAGCCAGCCATCATTAGTCCATGTGTTGAAAGGTCCAAGGCCACGTCCACTCAATGGATTCTCCAGGGTTTAGTGCAGTTGGTGCTGGCAGAAAGATATTATTCAGGTGGCCAAACCTCAGTTTCAACGATTCTTCCTTGGTTTGTACTTGCGGTTATATAGGAGAGGCAGCAATATGTGCTAACATGCCTAGAGGGCTCAGGGCTCCCTTTTGGGGCTTCTTGTTCAAATGCTGTAGCACTTCCATAAGCAGACTGACCATCCCCAGAGCCTATTGGTATCTGATTTCAGTCTGGATTTTAACAAACCATTGTGCCTCTATCATTCCTGCTATGGTAGGATTGTATGCCACATGAAACTTCCATTTGATTCCCAACTGTTGCACTCATTCTTACAGTGCATGTCCAGAAAAATGGGTGCCATGATTGCTCTTAATTACATGTGGTCAGCCATAGGTGGCAAAGAGATGCTCCAGGCCTCTTTTGGTTGTCTGTTGGTATGTAAAGCATGTACAAAAAGAAACCAGAAGTCCAGTAGCTGTGTCCACACAAGTCATGGCAATATCAATATCTTTCTGATACAGGTAGAGGCCCAATATAGTCTATCTGCCACCTGACGAGGGGTATAGGCCCCTTAGCTATTGTCCCATTTTGCTGTGGAACTTGGTGTAAGTCCCTTTTGGAGCACACGACACACTCCTGCTGGGCTCTACTAGATTCTTTGAAGGTCAAAGGCAAGCCCCACCAACAGGCTACAGCACACATTGTCTTTTGCCCCGCATGCAACAAATGCTGATGTAACCATTGGGCTACATTAGAGGCAGGCTTTCCTTCTAATCAATGTATCTGGGCCAGATTATCTGCTTAATCATTTCCTGGGGATACCAGTGGCAAATGACATATCACATGATATAGTGTAACTGTTTTAATCTGACCACCAGCCTGTAAGTCTTGCCACAATTCTTACCCCCAAATGGGTCAGTGACCAACCAACCAGTTGGCATGGTACCATGTCGGTAGCCAGAGGGTCAAGCCCTGTTAGAATGACCCAGTTGTCAGTGCAGACAACTATAGGGGAGGTATCTTGGATGATCACAAGCCACACTGCCCACAAATCTTCACATTGACTGCTGTTCCTCTCACCATCTTCCAACCATATTTTCTCACTCTTAGCATGGAAAGCTATGCCCTCCATTTTGGGAGCTTCCCATGGCTGGTGCCATCTGTGTACCATGCATCTTCAGGTATAGGGGCTCTTTCATCCCAATAAGGACTCTCTGCTAAAATAGTTCTAAATTAAATTCTTCCTACATTTCACTAGTATATGTCACTTGCTCCAATAAGCATTGGAGTTCTTCATTCAAGGGCCTACTAGAGAAGGCACTACACTGCGGTAGGTATGCACCCCACTAGGCCAGTGTAAGCCTTTGTGTCACACCACTCCTTGGCTTTTGGGTCCAGTCTTGTACCCACCCCAAGATGAGATAGGTGGTTATTACCCTTATCGGGGCCATTCCAGTGATGGGTTCTGTAGCCAGCAACACATGACACATGGCAGCCAGTTGTTTTTCTTTCAAAGTGTATCATACCTCTGGCCCTTTCCATAGTTGTGACCAGAATCCAACGGGTTGACGATTTCATTCAAATCACTGTCAGAGACCCCAGCCATAACCGTCTTTAGTCACATGAACATCCAGGTCACTGGGCCTTGATAGGTCTATCACACTCAAGGCCTGCACAGCCTTGACTGCCCCATTTGCTATAGTAAAGGCAGATGCACATGTCTCATCCCAGTTCCACCTGACGCCCTTTCATACCAACTGTTATAAGGGTTTCAGAATTTGTGCCAACTGCGGTATAAACACTCTCCAGTAGCCTAGAAGACCCCAAAACTCTTGGAAACATGCCACAGTTGTAGGGGTAGGAAAAGCCTGGACTTTATCTATCACTGCTTCTGGGATAACTTCAGTTTTATCTGACTAGATGGTCCCCAAGAGTTTGACTGACAAACCAGATCCCTGAATCTTGGTGCTGTTCACAGCCCATCCTTTCTCCTGTAGATGTTGCAGCAGTCTAGATGCTGCACCTTCTAGATCTGAAAGAGAATCAGATGTGAGCATGACATCATCAACATAATGGTACAGCCACACCATTGGCAGTTTCTCCCATGTTGCCAAGTCCTGGGCTACAAGTCCATGATAGGTGGTGGGGCTGTGGAGGTATCCCTGTGGAAGGATGGTGAAAGTCCATTGCCACCCTTCCGACGTGAAGGCAAACTGTTCCCGACATTCCTGCTCAATGTCAATGGAAAAGAAGGCATTAGCAAGATCTACCACAAAATTATATGTTCCTAGTTTGTGGCTGAGGGTATCCATCAGGTCTGCAATACAGGGGACAGCAGCATGCATATGGGGTATGACTTTATTCAATTCTCTGTTATCAATGGTCATATGCCAGGAGCCATCCAGCCTTTTTACTGGCCACACTGGGGAACTGAAAGGACTATGGATGGGCTTTGTAATACCTACATTTTCCAGTTCCTGGAGGGTTTCTCCAATTTCTTTATGCCCTCTAAGCATTTTGCATTGTTTGGTATTAGTCACCCGCTTAGGCACAGGCAAAGCTATGGGCGGGTGCCTCGCATGCCCCCTCAGAACTGCCTTCACCACATGTATTCTCAGTCTGCACTCACCTGCAGTGGTCAGCAACCATAGGCCGTGCAGGATATCTATACCCCAAATATACTCGGGGATGGAAGAGATATATACAGTATACTCCTTTGGGCATAGACACCTTATTCCCAAAGGAATTTGGGCTTGTTTCACTCTGACAGTCTTACCCCGATATCCATCTACAATAGCAGGAGTCCCAGGAAACCACTAATGGTTGCCATAAATCAGTGAACATTCAGCCCCTGTGTCCACCAGAGCCAGGACACATTGTATGTTCACTGGGGATCAATGGATAGATATTTCAACATGAGGCCTCTGTTCCCCCCCAATCTGTCAGGGCAGGTGCCTCAACTTTTCCCTCAATCATACCATGTTCCCCAATCATCTTCCTGTGTAGGTTCAAGTGAGGTTGGCTCGCTCTCCAGCAGGAGGGCTTGCAAACACACAGGCTAGACTTGTGGCTCTGTCTCTGGTATCTGCCTTTTTGTTCTTAGTGGCTGGTACTGCTGCTCCAGCTTCCCACAGCACCAGTAAGATTCTGTTTGATTTCCCATCTAATTTCCTTCTGTCTGCTCCTGCCAATTAAATCAACCCATATCTGGGTCCTTGCAACTTTCATGGGGCCCTTTAAATTCTTCTTGTGAGTAGCAGACTTTATTTCTTTCCATTCTCTCATTACTTCAGCTTCTCCTAAGTCTGCTACTGTATGGGCAATCCCACTTATGGGTTGCTGTAAGTGAGGGGTAAGAATGACCACTAGAGGACGAAAGAGGGATGTAGGAGCCAGTTGAAGCACATTTCTCATCCCTGCAGTAAAAAGTTCCTTATCTAGACCATAATTCTCTGGACTATAGATGGAATTTTTCATGCCTAGCTCCCATAACATCTTGCACGTCAGCATTCATCTGCCATCTAGCAGGGGAAGATGGTAAATCACACTAATTTGGCCACACAGCATGAAATGCAGCCATAAGCCAATCAAGGAAGGAGTGATTTCCTGGGGTCTGATGTGCATTTTGTAATTGCTGCCTCAAGGCAGGATGAAGTGTCAGGGAAGCCAGCTTTCCTATCTCTGATCCAGACAGAACAATTCCATTCACCCCTAAATCCCAAAGATGCAGGAGCCAAGCTGGTATTGACTCCGAGGGCTTCTGCCCAAACTGGGAGTCCAATTCCACCAGCTCAGCCTGAGTATAGGAGTGGAGCATAGTGTGCTCCAAGACCAGGGGAAGGGGCTGCACCTCTCCTGGAGGAACCCTTAGTTGCTGTGCATTAATTTGACTACAACCGGGCATGCATTCAATAGAGGAGGGGTCCACCCCTTCATCTTTCCCAGCTCTTCCACTTCCCAGGCTGATGGCCCCTTTCTCTTCACTTCCCCAAGTGCCTCCTCTGCTACACCTTTTACCTTTTCTACAGTGCCTTGCAGCAGTCCTAGCTCAGTCTTCAACAGCTCTCTTACCTTCACCTCTACACCTTGCAGCTGGCATTCCTATGGTGCCTCTTCCTGTGCTTTCCTCAGGAGTACGTCCTTCTCCGCCATGGCCTTTGCCTCCTTCAGAGCCCCTGGCAGTGCTGCTGTCTCATTCTGTAAAGAATCTTGTACCTCCTCCACTGCACCTCACATTTCATGTTCTCCCACTGCCTCTTCTTGTGCTTTTTGCAGGGGTCCATCGTTTTCCTTCATGGCCTTTACCTCTTACACAGTACCTCATACTAACTCCATTTCAGTCACCAACAAATTTTTTACCTCCTCAATGGCACCTCACAGCCAGCATTCTTGTGCTGCCTCCTCTCATATCAATGTCATTTCATTCTTCAATGAATCCACAGTTCACAGCTTGCGTACTCATGCTGCCATTTCCTGTGTCTCTTTCAGGAGCATGTTTTTCTCATCTGTAGACTTTTTTAATGCTGTGAGAAGCAGCCAACCCACAGTTCCCGCCACCTCACAGGCTCTCTGTTTCTCAAAGGACCTACTTATTATACCAAGGGCTATCTTTACTGCCTCAGGTGTCACCTCCACCTGCCTCCAATCCTGGGGAGGGGCTCAGCCCTCTAGGAGGCAAGCCACTGCAGACCACATACCCCTTGGGGGACACTCAACTGTCTCCCCATTCATAGGGGCAGTTTGCTGAAGCACCCCTCCCATAAGAGCAGCCTGTTCTGTTCACTGGTCAACAATGAATCTTGCCGGTGTTACCAATTGTCTTGCCAATGGGTTTCAGCACCGGACAAGTTCACTGTGGATTCAGTGAGACTGAGGAATGAAAATGGACCATTCTTGAGGTGTAAGGGTTTATTACCCTGCTTGTTCTCCTGGTGACAGGTTGAGCACTAGAAATACGTATGCATCCAACAGTCTTCAGGTCTGTAATCCTCCTTCATCTCTGCCTCCGCCCAGAGCTATGGGCAGAACTCTTTATATAGTGATTCAGTCAATAATAGCTTATTGCCCATGATTGTGCAACTAATACCTGAGCAGCAAGCCAGTTACATCTTCAAGCAATTTAGGTTCATGTGAGGATCCTCACCATAGGAACCCCAACTTTCCCAACAGAGGGACTACTGTAATATTTGTTATACATCAGGCACTGTTTTAAGCACTTACATTAACTTTTTTATTCTCTTAAGGTATTATTCTCCCTATTTTACAGAAAAGGGAAGTGAGACATTAACAACTTGCCAAACATTTAAAGGTAGGAAATGTTGAAGCTGGGATTTCACCCTGAGGAGACTGACTCTACAGCCTGTAATCTTAATCTCCATGCTGTGCCCATAAGCATGCTGTACTTGTTGCAAGAAAGGAGATCTAAGCATAATCTGACTAATGATTAAGCTAATTAAACGATGTTACTTTAGGATGGGGAATGCATAAAGTAATGTTAGTGGTGCTAAACTAATTAGAAAACATTGTTTAAATGTGTAACAAGAAACATACACACACGCACAACACACCCTGTCTTTGGTCAGAGACATGGTCTAAATCACTGATATCCAAGGTGTAGTCCATGGACCATCAGCATCCCCGGGAGCTTTTTAGAAATTTTAAATCTCAAGCCTGTGATTCAGGCCAGGTGATATGGATACTACTGGTTCTTGGGCCACATTTTACAGGTAACAATGCTTTAAATTATTTCAGGATGCTTACCAACTAAGCTCAGAAAATGAAAACAGACTACCTAAAAATATTGAGGAAAAGTCCCATGTAGTTTAAAATGCCTACAATGACTATAATAATTAACCTGAGGGACAAGAAATTATATGATTCAATCTATCAAAAAACCCCTGGAATAGGTTTTTTGAAGAAAAGGCTTTATAGGAACTTAAGTGTTACTTGAAATTTCAACAAACTACCATATTAGAAAGCATGTATACACAATTCTTCAAGACCTTTTGACATTTCTTCTCATGAACATACCCATGTTTCTTTCCGGGCTGCACCAGAAGCTTCCACATAGATCAGGTGGGCTGCAGTAAGATATAGAATCCCACTGGCTGGTTTCTTACCCACATAATGATCCAGTAATTTCACATTTTCCACCTGTTATTTGAGGAAAAAATACCAATTAAGTTATCAATTCACCACCTGTGATTACAGTGGGAGAATTCAAGATGAATCTTGTTAATCTGCTACAAAACTTGAGGCTTTCTAGTTCCTTTCATGGTGGAAAACTAGTATGATTTGTGTTTCCTTTTCCTAAATCAGTCCTGGAGAAATTATGAAGGTGAGAGGGAAACATGGATTCTAGGAAGGATTAAAATTATACATGACATTATCATGATGGTGTAGGTATGGGTGGAAGATAAATAAGATGTAAGAGCCTGATAAAGTACTTATCTTATTAGAGAGAAGTTAGTTATTTTATTTGTAAAAAATCAATAGGGGTAAATAACATAAGGTTAGATCTTAGAGGGCAAGCAAATAGAACACATAATTTTGCATAATGCAGGAGAAAACTTGATCTATCCGATGGAAAGCAGGAAAGGAAAAAAAAACAAAAAAAAGTACCATAAATAGAAAGCATAAAATGAAATACCAGAAATATGCCCCAAAGAAGAGTTTACACAACAAAGGTACATGAATTAAACTTACCCATTATAAGACAGACTTACACACTGGATTATAAACAAAAGACTCAACAATATTCAGTCTAGAAGAGATACACTTAAAGAGATGTAAACAAGTTGAAAATAAAAGGATGGTAAGGAAATACTAGGCAAATATCAAGCAAAACGAAGCTAGAGTGGCATTTTCAATATCCAACAAAATAGAACTAAGTGACAAAGAACAACTGAACAAGAAGACATATCCATCATACATATATATGCATCTTACAATACAATTTCAATATAAATTTTGCTTGATGTTGCTTGAAGCAGAACTGCAGAGGGAAAAAGAACACTTGGATAGTTTAACACTCTAGTTAGGAACTGACATCAAGCAAATAAAAACAAAAAAATGAATAGAGATACAGAACACTTGCACAGTTACAACCAAAAAGCTCAAACTATTAGATATACAGAGTAGAAGTCTGCATCCAACAAAAAACAAAAAGAGAACATAAAATCATTCAAGACAATAAACAGAACACTTACAAAAGGATACCATGATAATGGCTGTAAAGGAAGCCTGAATAAATCCCACAGGCTCAATATCACACAGTCTATGTTCTCCAATCATAACACAATGACATCAGAAGTTAAAACAAAATAACACCCAAAAAGTAGCATATGTTTGTAAACAAAATAACATGTTATTAAATTAACCTTGGGTTAAAAGGCAATCATAAATAAAATTAAGAATATTTAAAAGTGAATGATAAAAAAAGACAACAAATGAAAATCTGTGGGACATAGTTAAAGCAGAACTAGGAAGGAAATGTAAAGCTTTAAGTACATTTACTATGAAATGAGAGAGGTTAAAAACAGCTAAGCATTCAATGCAAAAATAAAAGCAAAAGAAACAATGGAAAGATAGACATTAATAAGCAGAGAATCCTCCCCCATACATACACACACACACACACCAAAATCCCAACAGAAAAGTTGAACAAAACTAGAATTTGATCTCTTACAGATAATAGGAATAGGATAGATCTTTGACAAGACTGATTAGGAAAAAAAAGGGAAGAGACAATAAATAAAACACAATGAAAAAGGGGAAATAATGTAACAGAAAAGTTTTAAATGAGAGCATTATAAAGAATACACTAATAAATTGGAAAACCTACAGAAGTGAAAAAATTCCAAGAAAAATATAAAATGGCAATTGTAGTAAAAAATTCCCCCTATTGTAAAAACTTAGGCCCCAATGATCTTATAGGTGAATCCTACCAAACTTCCAAGAAACAGTTAATGACTACCTTCTACAATTGATTCCAGTCATTAGAAAATGAATGACAGTCTACTTTTTTTTGAGAGGGCATCTCTCATATTTATTGATCAAATGGCTGTTAACAATAAAATCTGTATAGGGGACTCAATGCACAATCATTAATCAACCCCAAGCCTAATTCTCAACAGTCTCCAATCTTCTGAAGCATAACGAACAAGTTCTTACATAGTGAATAAGTTCTTACATGGTGAACAGTGCAAGGGCAGTCATATCACAGAAACTTTCGGTTTTGATCACACATCATGAACTATAAACAATCAAGTCAGATATGATTATTCCTTCGATTTTTATACTTGATTTATATGTGAATGACAGTCTATTTTACAAGACTAGTGTAATCTGGATTCTAAAACCAAATAGACAACTGTAAGAAAAGAACATTTAGACCCATTTCACTTAAAAAATGTACATGCAAAAATATTCAAATAAAAAAATCAGTAAATCAACAGTATATTTTTTAAAATAAATTTGATCAAGTATAATTTATCTCAAGAAAGCAAAGATAGTTCAACATCAGTAAATTTCAATGTAATATATTACATGAATAGATTAAAGGAGAAAAATCAAATGCTTTATCTTAATACAGAAAAAAACATTTAATTGAATTCACTTCTATTCATAATGATACCTGTTAGTGAATTAGGAACAGAAGCAAACATCCTTAACTTGGTAAAGATTATATACTAAAAACCTACAAAGAATGTCATGCATTGTGGAGAAAATAAATGCATTAACTTAATATCACAAGCAAGACAAACTGGACCCCAACTATCACTGGTACTGTTTTAGATATCCTAGACAATATAATGAGGAAAAAGAAGGGGTAAATCTAGAAATTCAATGACTGGAAGTAAAGTGTGATATCTTCCTTCATTTACAAGGAAGGTAATCATGTACCAAGAAAAAAAATAATCAACAAACTATTAGAACTAAAATGAAAGAAATTCAACAAGGCTGCCATATAAAATATCAACCTACAAAATCAACTATACTTTAATTTTTTTAAAAATCAATAGTATTACTCTATACCAGCAATGATGATTAAGAAAATGCCATTCACACACTTATCATAGTGAGTAATTAGTAATGTATATCATTGTTGAATCACTATATTGCATATCTGAAACCAATATGATATTGTATATCAACTGCATTCCAATAAAAACTCTAAAAAAAGAAAATATATTCACTATGGCAACAAATCTAGGAATTAGCTTAACCAAGAATATACAAGATCTCTACACAGAAAACATTAAAACTGTAATTAATAAAGGACACAAAGATAAAGAAACAAAGAGACATCCATGCTCTTAGATGGGTAACAATCAAATACACATGGCACTCATCCCCCAAATTAATTTATAAATTCAATGCAATTTTCCATAAATTTATTCTAAACTTAAATAGAAGAATATAACCCCAAACATAGTTAAATCGACCTTTAAAAAGTGTAGTAAAAAAAAAGGAAGACTTGCTCTATTAGATATTTAGACATATCAAGGGAAAGAAAGAAAAACATGTAGTACTACTGCAAGAACAGACAGATAGACTATTGGAAAAGAGCTAGAGCTCAAAGAAAGATGCATGTATATATGAAAGGCTAATATACCATAAATGTGGCACCATAAATTGATGAACAAGAGATATGAATATTTACTAAAGGTGTTGGAGAAACTGTATCAGTACATGGAGAAAAATAAAACCAGATCCCCCATATACAAAAGTGGACTCTGGTTGTATCTATATGTAAAAGGTAAAACTATAAAGTTATTAGAAAAAAATGCAGAATATCTTGGATTTAGAGACAAGGAAAGATGTTAAAAGTTAGTAACAGAATAAGAGAAAATATGTGCAATCTGTAAAACTAGCAAGGGATTATTATCTAGACTAAATAAGGAACTCCTGCAACTCAATAAAAAAAAGGGGCTCTAATAGAAAAATACGCAAAACATAAGAATAGGCAAGTTACTGAAGAAGAAATCCCATAAGCATACAACCATGAAGAGATGCTCAAAACAGTGGTAATCATAGAAATGAACATTAAAATGACAAGATATTGCCCTAAGTCTGTAAGACTGCCAAAAAATGAGCAGGAAGAGCAACCAAAACTACAAGACAGAGCCCAACAAAGAGGGCTAAATGAAACAGAGATCACCAATCTTCTTGATAAAGATTTCAAAATAAAAGTCATAAACGTACTGACAGATATATAGAAAATATTCAAGATCTCAGGGAGGACTTCAACAAAGAGATAGAACACATGAAAGAGGGCCACTCAGAGCTGAAGAATACAGTATCTGAAATGAAACATACAATAGAAGGATTTAAAAGTAGATTTGATCATGTAGAGGAGACAGTAAATGAAATAGAAATTAGAGAACAGGAAAACAAAGAAGCTGAGGAACAGAGAGAAAAAAGGATCTCAAGGAATGAAAAAATGATAATACAGCTATGTGGCCAATCCAAACAAAACAATATTTGCATGATAGTGGTACCAGAAGGGGAAGAGAGAAAAAAACGGGATAGAAAGTCTCTTTAAGAAAATAATTGTCCAAAACTTCCCCAATCTGAAGAATGAAATAGACTCTCAGGTAATGGCAGCAGAGATACCATAACAAAAGGAACCCTCAAAAGACAACACCAAGATGTATAATGATTAAAATGGCAAAGATCAGATATAAGGAAAGAGTGTTGAAAGCACCCAGAAAGAGAAAAAAAAGATTACTTATAAAGGAAATCCCATCAGTCCATCCCAAAGCAATCCCCAAGCAGGGGATTCAGGAATCAGGAAATCCCAAGCAGACTCTCAGCAGAAATTCTACAGGCCAGAAAAGAGAGGCATGATATATTTAATGTACTGAAACAGAAGGACCTCCAACCAAGAATCCTCTACCTTCCAAGATCATCATTTAAATTTGAAGCAGGTATTAAACAATTCCCACATAAACAAAAGTTGAAGGAATTCATCACTACTATACCAGTCTTACATTATATATTAAAGGAACTGGTGTAGACAGAAATTACCCTAAGGCTAAATAGCTTTTACCAGTGAAAATAAACCCACAGTAAAGGTAGTCAACCAAATAATTACCAAGCAAGTACAAAAATAAAACAAAACAAAAGAAGCATAATCAGCTATATACAAA